TTGGAAGTCTCACTGGAGGCTTCCTCTCCTCCGGTTTAATTAGTTTGATCATTTCTTTTTTGTTGTACCTATGATTTTTATGATTACAAAACATATTTGAGTGACTAATTGGTTTATTTAAGTGTGTAGTTAAGTTGCTAAAAGATTGCAAGTAAACTTGGATTGTACTAAAAATAGACCAAAAGGATTCAAAATGTGCAGAGAGCCGGCTCTTAAAAGCTGCAGCCAGCTCTAGTGAAATGGAAGTACAGAGACTCGGCTCTCGAATCTGCAGCTGGCTCTACAGGCAAAAATTTGAAGACCGTTGTTTGGCGCGTGCGGAGAAAAGACGCAAAGCCGACTCCAACTTTGCAGCTGGCTGTGAGGGTGCATTTAATGCACAACGGTTGACTCTTTTGAAGAGTATTTAATATATTTAAAGTCGGAGTTCCAAAACCGGCTCAAAGTTTTGTAGTTGGCTCTCGAGAAAAACAGAATATGCAGGAATCCCGTAAAGCCGGCTGTAGAAATGGTAAGCAGGCTGTAGAAATGGTAAGCCGGCTGTACAGAGCCAGCTCTAGGAAGTTAAGTCGGCTCTCCTGACAATCCTACAACTCGAGCTTTGCGTCCTGCAGGGCATTTAATGACCCCCAACGGCTAAAAACGACTATTTTTGAGCAAGGGGTTATAAATATGGTTGGTAACAGATTTGAAGAAGGTTGGAGAACATTATATTGAATATTTTTACCTACCAACTTGTGCTTTAACTAGAGATTTTGATCTTTGAGAGATCTTGATCTTTGAGAGATCTTGATCTTTGAGAGATCTTGATCTTTGAGAGATCTTGATCTTTGAGAGATCTTTGTTTGTAATTCTTTTTTTGTGCTATTAGTGAGTGATATTGGGGGTGTGTTGATTCCTTCAAGAGTGATCTGTAGAGAGCATCTTTGGGGTTTACATTGTAAAGGGGTGAAGTTTGAGAGAAATACTCATCTTGTTATAAAAAAATTGAGTGGCTCCTTTAAGTCACCCTTGTCTTTCTTAGTGAAGAGTGTGGAGAAAATCCTTGGTGAGTGAAGTCAAGGTAGAGGACTAGGCTCCAAGTGGTTGGACCGAACCTCTATAAAATAATTGTGCAAGCTCTTCTTCTCCACTCTCTCTTTAATTTTTGTTTGGTGGTTGCAAAGAGATGAAAATTCTCCAACTCCAATTCACCCCTCTCTTGGAGTGCATCGATTCAACATTTTTAATTTAATTTATTAATTAATTTATTTATTA